CGCCACAGCATGGCTTGCCAAGTGGTGTGTCGGTGTGCACCTGGGATCTGAAGCCTGGGCCGCCGCAGCTGAGCACGCGCACTTAACCGCTACGCCACCCGGCCGGCCCATAGGGTTTTCTACATATAAAATCGTGTCGTCTGTTGACCGTGAGAGTTTCACTTCTTCGTTGCCTATTTGGGTTCCTTTTATTCCTTTTTCTCGTCTAATTGCTCTAGCCAAAACCTCCAGTACTGTGTTGAATAAGAGTGGCGAGAGTGGGCACCCTTGTCTTGTTCCTATTCTCAGAGGGATGGCTTTTGGGTTTTCCCCATTAAGTATGATGTTGGCTGTGGGTTTGTCATATATGGCCTTTATTATGTCAAGGTACTTTCCTTCTATAGCCATTTTAGTGACAGTTCTTATCATAAGTGGATGTTGCATCTTCTCAAATGCTTTTTCTGTCTATTGAGATGATCATGTGGTTTTTATTCCTCATTTTGTTAATGTGATGTATCACATTGATTGATTTGTGGATGTTGATCCATCCCTGTGTTCCTGGTATAAATCCCACTTGATCATGGCATATGATCTTTTTAATGTATGGCTGTATTCAGTTTGCCAATATTTTGTCGATGATTTTTGCATCTATGTTCATCAGCGATATTGGCCTGTAATTTTCCTTCTTTGTATCGTTCTTGTCTGGCTTTGGTATCAGGGTGAGGTTGGCCTCGTACAATGTATTAGGAAGTGTTCCATCTTCCTCTATTTTTTGGAATAATTTGAGAAGGACAGATATTAAATCTTTGAATGTTTGGTAGAATTCTCCAGAGAAGCCATCTGGTCCTGGACTTTTATTTTTTGGGAGGTTTTTGACTACTGTTTTAATCTCTTTACTTGTGAATGGTCTATTAAGGTTCTCTCTTTCTTCTTGATTCAGTTTTGGGAGGTTGTAGGAGTCTAAGAATTTATCCATTTCCTCTAAATTGTCCAATTTGTTGGCATATCGTTTTTCATAGTATTCTCCTATAATCCTTTGTATTTCTGTGGTATTTGTTGTAATTTCTCTTCTTTCATTTCTAATTTTATTTATTTGGGCCTTCTCTCTTTTTTTCTTAGTGAGTCTGACTAAGGGTTTGTCAATTTTTGTTTATTTTCACAAAGAACCAGCTCTTTGTTTCATTGACCCTTTCTACTGTTTTTTTGGTTTCAATTTCATTTATTTCTGCTCTAATTTTTATTATTTCCCTTCTTCTGCTGACTTTGGGCTTTGTTCTTCTTTTTCTAATTCTGTTAGGTGTAGTTTAAGGTTGCTTATTTGGGATTTTTCTTGTTTGTTAAGGTGGGCCTGTATTGCTATGAGTTTCTCTCTCAGGACCACTTTGCTGTATCCCATATGAGTTGGTATGGTGTATTTTCATTTTTTTCCAGATATTTTTTGATTTCTCCTTTCATTTCTTCAATGATCCATTTGTTGTTCAGTAGCATGTTGTTTAGTCTCCACATCTTTGTCACTTTCCCAGTTTTCTTCTTGTAGTTATTTCTAGCTTCATGGTGTTATGGTTGGAAAAGATGCTTGTTATGATTTCAATCTTCTTAATTTATAGAGGCTTGCCTTGTTTTCTAACACATGGTCTATCCTTGAGAATGTTCCATGCACGCTTGAGAAGAACGTATAATCTCCTGTGTTTGGATGGAGTGCTCTGTACCTATTAAGTCCATCTCGTCTAGTTTTTTAAGTCCACTATTTCCTTATTGACATTTTGTCTGGATGATCTAGCCAGTGATGTAAGTGTGGTGTTAAGATCCCCGACTGTTATTGCATTGTTGTTAATATCTCCTTTTAGGGTTGTTAATAGTTGCTTGATGTACTTTGGTGCTCCTGTGTTGGATGCATATATATTTATAAGTGATATATCTTCTTGGTGGGGTGTCCCTTTTATCATTACGTATTGCCCCTCTTTGTGTCTCATTACCTGTTTTATCTTGACGTTGACTTTGTCTGATATAAGCATGGCAACACCCGCTTTCTTTTGTTTGCCATTAGTTTGGAGTATTGCTTTCCATCCTTTCACTCTGAGCCTGTGTTTGTCTTTGGAGCTGAGATGTGTTTCTTGGAGGTAGCATATTTTTGGATCTTGTTTTTTAATCCATCCTGCCATTCTATGTCTTTTGCTTGGAGAATTCAATCCATTTACATTTAGAGTGATTATTGATATATGAGGGCTTAATGTTGCTATTTTATTGCTCATTTTCTGGTTCTGCATTTCCTTTGTCTCTTGTCCTGTGTGTTTCGGACTACCAATTCAGTTTGGTAGTTCTGTACGGTGGTTCTCTTAGTTTTCTCTTTATCTAATCTATGCATCTCTGTTCTGGTTATTTGGTTAGTGGTTACCATGAGGTTTGTATAAAAAATCTCATAGATGAGATAGTCCATTTTCTTATGGCTTATTTCCTTAGACTAAGTCGATTCCATCCCTTTTCTCTTCCCCTTCTAAGTTATTATTGTCACAACTTATTCCATCTTGTGCTGTGAGTTTGTGTTTAAAGTGATGAGGTTATATGTATTTTTGTTCTTTTCCTTCCCTTGATCTTTGATGTTATAATTAAGTGTTTGCTAACCTATTCTGATAGCTGCAATTTTTCTGATTTTGTCTACCTATTTTTCTCCTTCCTCAAAGCTTTGTATTCCCTTTCTCTTTTTTTTTTTTTAGGCATGAGGGCCTTTTTGAGCATTTCTTGTACTAGGGGTCTTGTGGCAATGAACTCCCCTAGCTTCTGTTTATCTGGGACAGTTATTATTTATCCATCATATCTGAAGGATATTTTTACTAGATAGAGTATTCTTGGCTGAAAGTTTTTGCCTTTCAGAATTTTGAACACGTCATTCCACTCTCTCCAGCCTGTAAAGTTTCTGCCGAGAAATCAGCTGAGAGCCTGATAGGAATTCCTTTGTATGTACTTTTTTTTTTGTCTTGCTGCCCTTAATATTTTTTCTTTATCACTGACTTTTGCCAGCTTTACTACTATATGCCTTGGAGAGGATCTTTTCATGTTGATATATTTAGGAGAGCTATTGATTTCATTCACATGTATTTCCAGCTCCTTCCTCAGGTTTGGGAAGTTCTCTGCTATTATTTCTTTGAACAAACTCTCTGCTCCTTTTTCCCCTCTCTTCTCCCTCTGGAATACCTATAATCCTTATGTTGCATTTCCTAATTGAGTCGGATATTTCTTGGAGAGTTTCTTTATTTGTTTTTAGTCTTAGTTCTCTCTCCTCCTTCATCTGGAGCATTTCTGCATTCCTATCCTCAATATTGCTAGTTCTATCCTCCAGATTGTCAGCTCTGTTATTTAAAGCCTCCAGACTTTTCTTTATCTCCTCCATTGTTTTTCATTTCCAACATTTCTGATGGTTTTTCCTTATAGTTTCAATCTCTTTTGTGAACAAGTTCCTGACTTCATTGAACTATCTGTGTTTTCTTGCAGTTGTTGAACTTTCCTACGATAGCTATTTTGAATTCCCTGTTGTTTAGGTTATAAACTTCTGTGCCTTCAGGATTGATTTCTGGGTGCTTGTCATTTTCCTTCTGGTCTGGAGATTTAATATATTTCTGCATACTGCTTGAGGGCATGGGCTTATTTTTCCTCATTCTGAAAATATCTGGTTGCAGCTTCCACCTGCCGCCACTGGGTGGGGGCCAAGAGCTGTGTATACTGAGCCCGCTGCAATCCACAGGTGCTCTGGCCGACCAGCTGTGCTGGAGCGCCTGGCAGGGGGAAGGGCTTTTTCTTTCACCTGCCTGATCCTGGGGGCTTCTTCCTCTTACCTCGCTGTCTGCTCTCCTGGGGTGTGAGCCTGATGAAAGCACCCCTGCAACAGTTCAGTCCCCTCTGTATGGGACTTTGCCGCAGGCTGTGAGAGAACTTGGAGAGCGATGGTTTTCCCGTGGAGGGCTGCCCCTCCCTCCTCTCTCTCAGAGAGCCGCACAGTCCCGGTCCTGGTCTCTGTCATTGGTGAAGGAGAGGAGCTCTCCTTACCTCCTTCCACTTCCTCTGGGGGGTCCAGCACCTCCACCTTCAGATGTAAGGCTGCGTGGGTCTGTCAGACGTCTTTTGTGCTGTGTGAATGTCCTCTATTGGTTTACGAATGTCCTTTTTGTTGTATCTTAGGGGGGAGCATCTATGGGGAAAGGTCACTCCACCATCATGCTGACGTCGCTCCCAGTACAAGTTTTTAATGCTATAATAATGAGAGTAAAGTCATCAAATACTGAAACTGATGTGAGGGTGACAAATGACTTATTTATACTGTTAACTCTGTAAGAGAAAGCAATGCTGAATGTTCATGACCTTTATTATCTTGGCTAACCTTCCTTAGTTTACAACAACTCTTTAAACTCTTCAATTCTGTGGTGCGCAGGAGTGGGGGAACACCTCTGTGAGGAGCCACGTGTCACTGGCCGTGGGTCTGGCCTGGACGGGAGGAGGTGGCCCCGCGTCAGGGATGCACGGCCGTCCCACACCCCAGCAGTCCTCGGAGGGGAAGCCGGAGCAACGGGTCGAAAGCTCAGATGTGCTGACTGACTGAACAGTGCGGCTGAAGTTTTGGAAAAGACGAAGTGACACGATTCAGCACGAGACATGGAAAGAAAACCAAGAGGTGTGCTCAGAACAGAGAGCACAAGTGCTGATTGTTGAAGCAAGCCATTAGAATCCCTCAGGACAGAGATCAGTTTTCTCCAATACATCACCTCAATCCAGACCCCTAACACACGAGCCAACCATCCCGGCCGCCTGGGGGTGAACACACGGCAAGTCTGCTGAGGGAATGCGTGAGGGCGGTGCCCGGGTGAGAGCACAGCCTTGAGGAAGCGGACAGGGCATTCCCACGCTGTCCACGTGTGGCCCCTGCTGACCCCTACGTGCATCTCTGAGGGAACATGCTCTGGCTTCTCAGCCAGGAGGCTGTACCTCCTGACTCAGGAACAGCATGACATGCCCCTCCGCCCACCACTCACCACGGCACTGTGCTCCACTCTGGCCCGGATCTGGTCCACTCTGCCCTCTATCACTTGGGGAAATATTGAAGAATCTGCTCCTTTGCAAAACAGATAAATTTCTCCTATAAAATGAGAAAACAAGATGTCTAATTTAATCACAATATGGGGAAGATGAAATTATTTTTCAAATTATGCTTTTATTAAAAGATAAAAACAGGGAAATCAGCACTGAGACTATTGTAAAGGAGATGTCAACAGACTAGGTAACATGTAAATCAGGGAAAATCAGATCTACAGATGACCCCAAAGCCTCATTTTATTCTGACAACCCTAGAAATCTCATGGGAAAGTCAGGAACCAGGAAAAAACTGGCCCCTGGGTGTCCTTCCTCCTGTGATTCTCTCTGGTTAGGACACAGGTGCATAATAAAATGACCCAGGGCAGGGAATGGGGTGGGAGACAAAGGGCAAGGCCGACCCAAGGGAAGGGGGTAACAATTTGCTGAAATACTGGGAGCTGAATGTCCAGGTCATCCTTTGCAGTCACCGGAGTTACAAGGAACAGCTGTGGTATAATGTTGCCCCACACCTCACGTAACGTCCCAACTGCTTCCACATATTTGCGCTGTAGATGCATGCTTCTCCCTCAAGATAAAAAGATCTTCTGCTCCAGATAAGTGGGGGAACTCTCTAGCCTATGACAAAAGGGACATTAAAGAGACCGAAGGCACCAGCACTGATCAACAGGCCCCTGGCACACAGAGGCTCCCTCCTCTCTCATGAAGAACCCTCCAGGGCCGGAGAGGGAACTCTGCTGCTTGTGACTGTGTTGTATTCTCAATTTGTCTTCAGACAGAAAGCTCGAATGTGAGCTCCCCGGCCGGGGGCAGACCCCTAGAAACCCTAGATGCTGAGGGCCCTCGAGATGTCTATGGGGAAAGCAAATCCAGAGGCAGCAGGAGGAGCAGGCGACTGTCCCACCACAGCCAACTCCTCGGTGGGGCCGGCTGGGAGGGGCTGTAAGGAGGGGCACACTCCTGGGGCGATGGCTCATGAGACCCACCAGCTGGCCTGCACAGGGCCCCTCGGCAGGGCCCATGAGCTCAGCTCCAGCATCCAGAGCCCACCTTGGCTTATTTCCTTGATCCCAGAAAGAACTAACTCCTGTGGTACACACACAGTGAAAACATTTAAAGTACAGCACAATTTATGCTTGCAGAAGTCCTGAAATTAAACCAAGGGTAATGTCAATCTGTGGCCAGAAAGGATGGGGTCTACTAATGTCTGTGTCAGAAGCACATGGAGCTGAGCCACACTGGGCAGGAACCTCTTAGGGCTGGAAGTCCTAGCCCCGGAAGATGCCTACACAACCGTACAGGTTTGTGACCTGGGATTCTTATCATGTACCAGCCAGCCTGATGTCAAAATCCATTCCCAACTACCAGACATAATTCCTAGCCAATGCTCGTATGTCATCAGATACAGTTTAGAACAAGAACTGTAGTCCAGACAATGTAATGATGCATTTTTTCTAGATAAATCATGATGACTCATGGTAATGGCTTGTGAATGCTTAAATTCCTCACTGTCTCAACTTGTCAATTCCTCTATATCCACTTCAGATGTGGGGCATGTTCAGCCTTAAAACTTGGTCCAGAAGAGCTTCTGACATAAAAATCCAGAGTGTAAAGCAAAATATAATCTGCAGAGGACAGTATTTGGCACCAGCTTTAGATCTTGCTTTTCCAGTTTTGTAAGCATGCAGGACATTACTGACACTCGGGTGATGTGATCAGAGCCTACAGCGGCTCACACAGTGACATGATTGGAACCTGCAGCGGCTCAGAGTGACGAGATCGTAACCTAACAGCGGAGCGTGCTGTGGGACCGGGCCCGGCTCTCACGGCCACAGCACACTTTTCAGAGAAGAGCCTCAGAAAGAAGCCAAGCTGTTAACTGGCTGCAGTGGCTCATGGCCTCCAGGCCCCCTGCCCATTAGGTTGCAAAACCAGCTCAATTAGTGTCATCTCCGGGATGCACTACTACTTAGAGAACAACTCATTCCATTAAACATTCAAACTTCTCTTAAAATTAACTGATGTTACACCCTTTTTGATGGCAAATGGAAGTTGTTTACGAAAATGCCATGGTATGTACCCCGGTGCCAGCACTGTGGCCACGGCAGTTCAGGAGAACTGACATGTGGCTTCCTGAGTCTGCAGCATTACTGCAGGCTCAGGAACCGTCTCTGAAGCATGAGTCAACTCCTCCACTTTGAATCTGTCTGGGGAAAAAAATCAAGACCAAAAGATTGATGATGTCAATTTCCACAGTTCAACGCCTTTCTTCTGGATAACTCTGAATGGCTTAAACTCGCAGGAAAGCACTTCCTCAGTGCACGGTGGAGTAACTTTCTGGGCTCGGGGAGGCGTTAGCACACCTGAACTTGTTCTCAAACGTCATGGGTCGTGTGCTTCCTGTGTCCTGCTGATCCTAGCAGTAAAACCTCCCTTCCATGTGTTACAGCAGCATTTACATTACGAGTTATTTTATGTCCCATGACACAGTGCAAGTTTCACTGGTGGAGCCTGCTCCTGCCCACCACGTCCGAGAACCTCCTTCAGAGCGGTGGGTGCCATGGGGACAAGAGAACCCACCGACATGGCCAGCACGGCTCCCAGAGCAGCTCATTACCCAACACATGGACTCGGCTCTTGGAAAGTGACTCACGGGGTGCTGCTGGAAGACAGGCCGTCTGCAGCCTCACAACATCTTCTACCACCTCAGAGGGGAAACAAGGGATTGAGAAGGAAGTGAGAACTGCTGTCTACGGAAGTCTACTTAGTTTACTTCCCGCTGAAATGAAAAACTCCTCGCCTGAGTGTGAGGACCCTGCTGACAGACCCTCTAATGCACCCTCAGGTCACTGTTTTAGGCACGGAGTCTGTTTAGTTGCAGGGCAGCGGCTGTGTTTGGTTGCTCACCGGGCAAGTTTCCAAAGAGATAAACACAGCCTGGTATTGCCTCGTTTTAAGAAACAGAAAAGAGAGGCTGGCCCAGTGGCCTAGCGGTTAAGTTCACGTGTTCCACTTTGGTGGCCCGGGCTTCGCCGGTTTGGATCCTGCACACGGGCCGACGCCCCACTTATCAAGCCAAGCTGAGGCGGCATCCCACATAGAAGAACTAGAAAGACCTACAACTAGGATATACAACCATGTACTGGGGCTGTGGGGAGAACAAAGAAAAAGAGGAAGACTGGCAACCAGATGTTAGCTCAGGGCCAGTCTTCCTAAAAAAACAAAAAAAGAAACAGAAAAGAGTAAGATCCCACATCTTGATGAGATGCCATTCTGAAACTGCGTTAGTCAAGTGAATTTAGCAATACTGAGCACTCAGCAGCAGTGCTGTGGTGAGGACACTACCGAGAAAAGTATAGCTTCTGCACTCAAGATGCTTACCGCCTAGTCAGGTCAGAAGTCAAACAAACAGGTCATCCAACTGAGACAACCAGGAAAGGCTTCCTAACCAGGACGGAAAAGCCCCCCATGCAGATGCCTGCAGGTGGGAAAGCCCCCGCCAGGTAGATGCCTCCAGATGGAAAAGCCCCCCACCAGGCAGATGCCTGCAGGTGGGAAAGCACCCACCAGGTAGAGGCCTCTGGTGGAAAAGTCCCCGCCAGGTAGAGGCCTCCAGGTGGAAAAGTCCCCGCCAGGTAGAGGCCTCCAGGTGGAAAAGTCCCCGCCAGGTAGAGGCC